ATGTCAAAAAAGAGAAAAACTAAAGGGGAATGAAAGAATTTTTAGAATAATATCAGACCAATTACTAGTTTCTTTTTTTCTCATGGAGATGTACTTACTAGACCTCTCCATCCTCCTGCTGTTATCTGAACTGGTTTCTGCTTGCTTCCCTAAACTGCCCTTTCTCCCATATTCTAGGACTTTCCTTGGGTTCTGACTGATTTCTTACTGCGTTTTCTGGATTTTGCTGGAGCACATCCAAAAAGAGCTTTATAATAAAGTGTTCATGCGAAGGAAGTAAAGATCTTCTTTGCATGTCTCAAAGTTTCTTTTATCTTTCATGCTTGGTCTTTTTAAGCATGTAGTTCTACACTGAATTTTTTTCAGTATAGAAGATACGACTTTTAGTAGAATTTAATATCACTATTCAGAAGGCATTTTTATCATAATCATTTGTTAATAATATTCCTAGTTTTAGTCTCCTAGCAATCATCCACATGCTATCATTTGTCAATCCTTCGATTAAACTCTGCAGTTTTGAGATAACTCCTCGTAATTCTCTTGCATTTTGTACAGATGCCTCATCTAAGAGGAGGAGGTATTAGGAAAAAAAAAAAAAAAAAACAACAGAACAGATGCCTTCAAGGTGGACAGTCTTTTCAAGGATGTTTGTAGAGCTATCTAGGCATAGGATGTCATCTGACAGCAGCAAGCAAGGATACTCCCTGTCTATATAAAAGATTCGGGTTTCCTGAGCCTAGAGTTCTTCTTTGTGTGCCAGTGTCCCTGGATCCTCTTCACATCACCTTGTGAGAATCTTAGCTGAGGAACCACTACATAAAAGGGCCATATTCTGGCTAACGGTGTGGCTGTGAGTTGTGAATAGTTCTTTGTCTGTGACCCAGGAATCTTCTGCCTTCTGCCAGCATTGATGAAACTGTTGCTTTCAGGTAGGTTAAAAATCCTAGACCCCTCCTACCTTTTTTACATCTACTTTCTTTCTGAAAATGTCTTCAACCACCACCCCATAGAGTTTTCTTCTTGTTGCCATGTACTTGATTGTATGTAGCATTTAGTTATCTTTTTCTTGGTTTCTTTACTTGTCCTGAAGACATTTTACAATGAAAATATTTTGTATATAGCAAAGCACAGTAAATACCAGGTGTCAGCAAGTTTCTAAATTATAAATAATATGTTTTTTATTTGATTGAGTGGGTAATATGTTTCATATTAAATTGTTTTGCAAGGTACAGTGTATGAATAGATGAATACATGTATATACCCTTAAAATGTTTTATATTTGTACATAATTGCCCCAAAAGATTTATCAAGGTATGTTTTCTATATTATATACATATTATCTATTTCTGTCTTCAATAATGTTTATAAATTACCATTTGTTGGGTAATTACTATGTGTCAGGCACCATGTAATGCTTGTGATATGGAGGATTTTCTTACTAATTCTCTCAGTAGTCCTAAGAGGAAGAGTTTTTTTTTTCTTTTTTTTTTTTTTGAGATGGAGTCTTGCTCTGTCACCCAGGCTGGAGTGCAGTGGCTTGATCTCGGCTCACTGCAAGCTCCACCTCCTGGGTTCACGCCATTCTCCTGCCTCAGCCTCCCGAGTAGCTGGGACTACAGGCGCCCGCCACCATACCCGGCTAATTTTTAAATATTTTTCATAGAGACGGGGTTTCACCGTGTTAGCCAGGATAGTCTCGATCTCCTGACCTCGTGATCTGCCTGTCTCAGCCTCCTAAAGTGCTGGGATTACAGGCGTGAGCCACCGCACCCGGCCTGAGGAAGAGTTTTTAAAGTGTGTGTGTGTGTGTGTGTGTGTGTGTGTGTGTCAGAGAGAGAGAGACGGGGGTCTAACTCTGTCACCCAGGCTGGAGTGCAGTGGCATGGTCATAGCTCACTGCAGCCTTGAACTCCTGGGCTCAAGCTTTCTTCTTGCTTCAGCCTTCCCAGTAGTTGGGACTACAGGTACACACTATCTCACCTGGTTTTTTGTAGAGACTGAGTCTTGCTACGCTGCCCAGGCTGATCTTGAACTCCTGGTGTTAAGCCATTGTCTGTCTCAGCCTTCTAAAGTGCTGGGGTTACAGGTGTGAGCCACTAAACCCAGCCAAGGAAAATGTTTATGTTGTTCATATTTTACAGAAGAAGGGATAGAAACATGGAAAGGTACATAACTTGTATAAGGTTATAAAATTGGCAGATGATAGAATTGCTGTTCACGCCCAGGTCTGTTTAATGCTTGAACCCAAGCTCTTAATGTCTGTACTCTGCTATGAAATGGAGAGTAGGGAAAGGAAAAAGAAAAAGAAAAAAAAAACAAGTGGCTGGATTGTATCATCTGAAAGTTCTTTGGCACTGTTTAGTTTAAATTAATACTATATAGTTCTATTTTTTTCTTACTTAAAAAAAAAATAGAGGTAGGGTCTCACCATGGTGCCCATGCTGGTCTTGAAATCCTGGGTTCAAGTGGTCCTCCCACCTCGGCCTCTGAAAGTACTGGGATTACAGGCGTGAGCCACTTCACCTGGCCAGTACTGTATAGTTCTTAAATATTGATTTGACATATATAATAACAGCTTTGTTTACTGTAGTTATAATGGAATTCAGTGTATAGTTCTTGCTAAAAGTAACTACATTTAGTCACAGCTTAAAAAAAAAAGTACCAGACAACAGAATAAAATCATATAGGAGCTGATAATTTACACGTCCTAATGTTGGGAAAATCTAAGTTGAGGTTCCACAGCAACTGCAGCTCAGCCTCAGGGCAGTGAATGTTGCCATCCAAACTGGACACCGTGTGTAGCTTCATGAAATAATATTCTCCATGCTCTTGGGTGCCTGATAATGGCCACTGTGGGAACAATGTGTGAATTATCAGTGACTGTTTTATCATTGTAGTTTGGGGCATTTCATTTATGTGGCTGTTTCATAGTGCAACATAGGTGTTTCAAGTGGTGATACATCTTGGTGGAATTTCAGTAGTCCTTAAATTATTAATGAATCCTGAAAAACAGATCTGTAATGTGTAAGATTATTTTTATGTGCTACATCTGGTTCATAAACAAATCACATTTGCTCTCCTTCCTGTCCCCACTCCCATTGGAAAAGCATAATTTTGGAAGTTCGTGTTTACATTCCACGTGCAATTCTCAGGCAGGTTCAAGATGCTGGTTAACCTTTGAAATGTATTATGTGCTGGTGCTTAAAGGAGATAGATGACTGAGAAGTACATATTAGAGCCTCTCAAGTCACAGCATCATCAATCAAATAGCCTGGCTTCATGCAGAGCTCCACCATCCAGAAAGCACAGAGCACAGCTATGACTCATAGAAAAGCTTGATGCCCTTAGTTTCTACTTTTCATAGATTTGAAAGGGAAGTGTCAGTTGGGCCTTACTGCCTGCTTTGCCTTCTCTTAGTATCTCTTCAATGATTTAATATATTGTTGGACATTGTATCTTGAATGTGTAACTCTTGCTTATCATTTTGTTGATTGTTGTTCCTGTTGATGGCATGCACATTTCCACTGAGTCTCTTAAATAGCATGATTGAAAATATAAAATTTTTCTCCAGTGTTGGACTTCCTGTCCTAATATAGATGGCTTAATAAGTTCCCAATATGTGCACCTATGAATTATGTTGAAAAAGTTCACAATAAAATCACCATTGTCAAATTTATGTAATAGAAAAGATAAACCTAACAAATTATATGTATACATAAATTATACATATAAACTTCTAAGAAATGGATTAAATACATTTTACTCAGTTGCATTTGGGGAACATATTACCACAGAGATTCCTAGGCATGATTTTACTTTAATTAGCAAAACATTTACAGAGCTTCTACTAGGTGCCAGAGAGTATGTCTCCATCATCGTGTTTGGAGAATCTGAGGATCTCTTAACTGTTCTAATCTGGCTAGTAAGTCCATTGATCTCAGTTAGGTATCTTTATCATTATTCAAATGATTTTGGAAAGCCAACTTTTAACTATTAATAATAGTGAACTCTTTAATGAAAAGACAGTGGCCGAGATTATAAATGAAGGTATATTCTTGGGTGGCTTTTATTTTTGTGACCTACCACATTTATTCCACAGGCACCTTTTTGAGTACGGATTATCTCATCTGAACACCTATCTAATCATTAGTTTGTAAGCTAAGAATAATATAACTTCAATAAACTGACATATATAAACACCAGCAAACTTATTGGATTTCTGCAACACATTGGAACAATTTGTACAAAATATTGCCTTTGTCAAAGGAAGCATAGGAGGATGAGGGCTGAGTACTTTGTTTCTTTTGCTTGTCCTTTTGTTTGGTCCTTCATGCACAGAAGTAAACAAAAGTGGTCCATTATGGCTAAGACCTTAATGCCTTTACAGACACCTCTAAATAATCAGTCGATTGGCTTAGGATAATTTTATGTGAAATTGTATGGGATGAAGGCTGTAAAGTCTGGAACTATGCCACTGCATGCTCCTTTTGACGAGCTATGTTAGTAGGAATCAAGAACTGAGAAATATGACTTTGAAGCTTTTGGTAATGGTTATGGTTTGTAATTGATTTAACTGTTTTGAGTAGGAAGCTGTTTTCAAACATGCATTTCCAATGTCATGTATATTTGTTTATCAATATATCGTAACAATGGAGTAATATATAATAACTTCCTAAAATGTACATGAAAAGCAGTGAAAAATGACCAGATAATAAAATTAGCATGAAGATAAGTTTTTTTCTTTGTATGTTTGTTTTCTTTCCTTATCCCAGTAGTATATCTTATTCACTTTCTGGGATACACTATCTCACGAGACTCTTGTTTTCAGTTTTAGCTCTTTACAACACACACTCATCCTGTCATTAAAGGTCATCCTTCTTCAAGGAAACAGTTACCATAATCATACTGCCTATTAGATTCCCGTTTTATCCAGTTTCCTTTCACATTACAGCAAGAAGCCTAACACAGATTGTACTGTTCTTTGTGTTGGCTGCCTCTAGGATGAGGATGGGACAGAAGAGGATAACAGTCGTGTTGAACCTGTTGGACATGCTGACACGGGTTTGGAGAATATACCCAACTTTTCTCTGGAGTAAGTTACTGATGGTTTCAACTAACTTTGCAATGTACATGTAGCGTCATTAATTGCAGCAAGTATTCTGAAAGCATATGGCATGAGGAATGTTTGTGCTTAGTTAAAAACATGCCGTGCATTGATTTGTTTTTATAAAGAACATCTTTTATCTCTTGAGTTAATTATGTAATGTAAGCAGTATAGCATGGAAGTTCATGTCTACCTGTCCTGAGTTTCATGCCCTGGCAAATACTATTAAATTATAATATAAAATAGTATTTGATTGAAGATGTTTGTCATGTTAACAACACTGTAAACACCATAACTCTTTTCAGATTGCTTTGTGTGTCAATATTTTGATCATGTGTTTGTTCTTCACTTTGCTAAATTAAAAAAATTTGCAGACATACTTGAAAAACTAGTTAGATCATGTTCGCATTAATTATTATAGTGTATGTGTATATATATATGTATTTATTGTAGTTTGAAGAAATAGAATCTCTCTAGATATTTAATGAAAAATTGGAGGTCCTAGATTAGGGACCTTGAAAACAATTTTAAATATAAAAGGACAAAGAAAAATCTCCTATTTGTTCCACAATGTTCTGATTATTTTACGTATTGACATGTGTAAATGGTAGGCATTCTCAGGACTTCTTTCCTTGGTAGCTTAGAGCAGGGAGGACAGTCATTTTGGATTTTTTTCTTTGACTTTGGGTAAAAGTTGGGGATATAGGCATTGACATGTATGTACTTAATTCTGTCTTCTCTTGGTCTTCCAAGAGAAGTGAGATTAAGCAGGCACTAGGATCAGATGCTGTTTGAATGTATGGCAGTCAGCAAACTGAGTATTTACATTTAGTAAAGTACTTGCCATGCCATAGTTCTCTTTAGAATGTGGGATAAAATCAGTTTATTGAAGTTATACTATTCTTAGCTTACAAACCAATGATTAGATAGGTGTTCAAATGGGATAATCAGTATCCAAAATAGAATTTTATGAAATTTGGTAAAAAAATAAAAGTAATAAAAAATCCATTTAACCATTTGGCAGTATGGAAGAATTTTTATGTTGTCTTAATTAGTACATGTGATTAAATCTGTGCACATGTTTTTAATTTTGATTTGTTTGATATTCCTGTCTTTATGTAGGACATTCATAGTATATAGGATAACCTCAGGTTTTTATATTAGAAACATAATTGAAAAATTGGCATTTTCTATCACATAAAATCTATATTGTGATCTTTGTGAAATTCATTGGTAATAATTGATTGTTTTCCAGCTGGCTTGAAATAGATATTTAATTGAAGTACTGTTTCCAAATATTGGTTGTTAGGTAAATACTGAATAGACCTCTGATGTAATATGTATATATGAAAAAAATCTACAAAGAAAGCAGAATCTCGTTTAAATAGTTTAGAAAATTACATTGTCTCTACCAATTTTCATTAAACTCAGGCTTTATTGTATTAATAGTAAAGATTCATAGAAGAGACTTGACAAATCCATACGATATGTAAGGTTATGTTCCTTCTACAGAATAGTTTTATAATAGAAGTAACTTCATGTTATGTCATATAATATAAATAGCTTCATAACTGTAATCCCAGCTCCTCAGAATACTGAGCAAGAAGGTTGCTTGAGCCCAAGAGTTCTAGGCCAGCCTGAGCAACATAGCAAGACTCCCTTTCTAAAAAGAAAATTGATTATGAGCAATTTTATGAAAATTATTTGATTTGTAGTAGATGCCTATTGGCTTTGAGAAAGGTTTTATAAGCTGCACTTGCAGCTGTCTTATAGCAGTTTAGGAAATAGTGACTGACTTGTCATGAAGTAGTGAGTAGTAAGGACAATGGTGATCTCCCTTGGACTGTCACTTACAGTAGTGAAAACTTGGATCTCATTGGATTATTGGAAGGATTAATGATGTGACATATAAAAGAGCACTTTGTAAATTAGAAAGTGTTCTGTAGCTGCAACATCTTTATTCACTTAATCTTTAGAGTCCTTGACATAGGTGTTGGGATAGAAGAATTTCAGTGTAAGTCTAAAGATTTGACTTGAAACACATAAACTTGTATTACACAGAAGAATAGGGTCGATCCAAGAGAAATGTTCTGTGTCATTTTAATGTAGTTACCTCTGATGATTGCTCTCCCTCCATGCCATCAGACTAGTGTTCAGGTATGTAGTGTTTAATGTTGCCTTCATCACCATGCTTATATTCCAGAATATGTATATATATGCCTGTGCGCTTGGTGGGATTTTTGTTCTGTTCTCTTTCGTTGTTTATTATGTGTCTGTGTTGTTGCAGTTTTTCGTTTTGCTTTTTGGTTTTGGTTTGTTTACAGTACACGTTCATGCTCCCTCATTCATCATTGTCTCACAGTGATATGGTAAAGCTCGTAGAAGTCCCCAACGATGGAGGGCCTCTGGGAATCCATGTAGTGCCTTTCAGTGCTCGAGGCGGCAGGTAACGTATCTTGGAGGTTTTTAATTGAATCATAATGTAGAGTGTTTTATCTTCATTTATGCTCAGATGGAGAGTGGTGTTGACTTAGCATATGCTTGATAGGAAACATTCTCATTTGGAAGCAACTGCTCCTTCATTCCTATATATATGTCATAATCACAGAAAGCACTTAGCCCAATGAGGAGAGGTTTTGCAGGAACATGAAGAAATGGCATTTGAATTATCCTAATAAATTTATTGTTCATCACACTCAAGCAAACATTTTACTTTGCTATAAATTAATGATGGACCCTTTCAAGTCAGAACTCCAGATGGATTTGCAGTGTTAAGGAGAGCATAAAAGCAGTTTTTTGGGAAAGCTTAATGCAATAAAAATTATCTGGATGACTTAATTTGATTTAAGCTTTAAATTTGTGTTTATTTAGTTCTTCATTTTTATCATTTTTTTAATTGCTAAAACCTTTAATATGAAATTTTTAAAAATCAGGCAAGCCATAGATTTCTGAGCATTCAGAGTCTAAAAATGTTGTACTGTTTGTTAATCTCAACTTCATTACTTCACAGAACATGCATCCTTAAAAACTGCAAATGTTATATCAGTTTCCTTGATTCTGTTCCTTTTTGTGTGTGATAGAACTGTTGTGATATTTTTGGTCTTAATGTAGTATGAGTTCAGATAGTATGAGTTGATTTTCCAACAAAGGCTTGGCAGACCTCTGTCATAGACAAGTGAGGTGCACCGCATCCTTCCCCATGAGTCTGAACTTGTGCATGTTTAACTTGTTTAATTTAATTGCATCTTCTCTTACTTACTCTCTGATGATTACCTGGGAAAATATATTTGTGAACTGTTTTGGCTTTTTAATTTTTAACTTATTTCTTGTATTGTTATCACCTTTTTTTTTTCTTTTTCTTTTAACTTTCTTTACATGGTGAGAAAAAGTGGGGAAGGTGGAGGGTAGACTTACAGCAGTGACTGAGACCGTAGAACTTAGTTTAAACTGTTGTCAAGTAATTACAGGCATCTAGGGTGTTGTAAAAGATAGATGTGTGGGATTAAACCATGCATTTTATTTTTTAAAATGAGTATTTGAGCAATGTGGTACCTTCTTGTTACATGTAAGTAACTGTGGTGAGTTCAGATTTCATCTCTCATGGTTCATCCAGTATTCTAAAACTGAAACTTGACTTAGAACTCTGCTGGAATATGAACGAGGCTTGAATGGTAGTGTTACATAACAAGGTATAAAATTCACCTTGAATTTTCGAGTGGTGTTATATTCATAGTTGTAGCTGCTTTTACTTTTTAAATTCTCTTTAAAATTCTTTTTTTTTTAACTTTGGAGAAGCATTAACATTTCTTCAAATAACTTATAGTTAAACAATATTATTTTCAACATGGACTTGCCTTTATTTCATGTAAGAAATCAAGTTCTAAATTACCTCAAAAGTTCAATGTTGTTTTCATGTCTTTCCTGAGTAGGAAAAAAAAGATAAGGTAAAATGCATGGATTATAGCTTCCCAATATGCATATGCTTTAAAATGCCTGTGAAACATAACTCATCACAAATGAGATTTAATTGTGTTTGTACCAGCTTTGAGCCAGCATTGCAATTACATGTTATTATATTTTCTGTCATTTATTGTGTATTTTCTACCTCACTGTGAAATGATATCAGGGTAAAGTGAACAGATGAAAAGCCTAAAGCAAAAGGAGAGTAAGATGGAAAAATAAACTTACTATCTAGATTAAGTCAAAGGAAGGCATTTCACAAAATCCACCACAGTTTCTGGTTGCCATGGCATTTAATTTTGATACACCAAACAGATTCAAGAAAACAAGTATGTCTTTGCAGAACTAGAAGTTCTTTTATAGCTGAGTCATTTTTAAGCCCTGTTAGTTTGGCACTTAATGAAGAAAGTCGTGCACAGAGATTTTCAAAGAGACAGAGAGATTTAAGAAAAACAGATTGGTTATAATCTCTTTTTAGGCATCACCAATTTTCATATGGAAACAGAACAGAAATAGTTTGTGATTCTCCAACACCTGTGTTACATAGTTAAGCTTCCTTGTGGAATTGATAGTCATGGTTCCTCACAGTTGGATTAACAATGGGAGAGAAAAAGTAGATGGTCTGCTCAGATTGACAGATACAAATCTACAAGAGCCCAGAGATACCCACCTTCCTCATTCTCAGAAATGCTCAGAAATGGATTCCTGTTATTTCATAAGAAACCTTTCCAAGCATTTCTCTTGTGATAATCCCTGTGTTAGGTGCTAGGAAACGAAGATGAATGGAATATGTTCTTCCTCCAGAGATTTGCAGCCTAGATGGAGTCATAGCCAAGAAATCACACAATTATAATTATGTGATAAATGTTGATATAGTTCTATAATAGGTGTTCTGTGAACGGATAGGGGAAGAATGGTCTGAATTAGGTAACTGAAAGTGGCTTGTTGTGGAAGATGATTTTAAATGTGATGATAGCTTGTAAAGGTAGCTGTGTCAGCTCCATGGTAGCTTGTGGAAGAGTAAATTAAGCAATGTAGTATAGCAGAAAGGAAGAAATTAAGTGAAATTAAGAAATTTCAGATATATCTAGTAGGAATACAATAATATATATTCATGATATGTAAGTAGAAATTTCCAAGATAACTTCCCTTATACAAAATTCCAGTCATTCTTGGGCCTTCTCAATTTTGGAGGATAACTAATTGAATAACACTTACTGAATACTTACTTTTATAAAAGTGACAAATACATGTCAGTATTGCTTTCTCATTTAGATTTTCAAAGTCAAAGAGTCTAAGGAATAATGCAGAATCCCAATTGTATATTTTGAAGAGAAGGAACACAACCCAGACCACCTCAAATATCAAATGTCATTAAGGAAAATAGTAATGTAAGCTTGTGAAGTTAATGTTAGCGAGATTTTTACAGCCATTTAGATCTTATTATGTCCTGATGTATGATGAAATTTTTGTTGTTGTTGGATTTTTTTGTTTGTTTTTTGTTTTTTTGAGGTGGAGTCTCACTCTGTCGCACAGGTTGGAGATCCTGGCTCACTGCAACCTCCGCTTCCTGGGTTCAAGCAATTCTCTTGCATCAGCCTTCCTAAAAGCTGGGACTAGAGGTGTGTGCTACCATGCCTGGCTAGTTTTTGAATTTTTAGCAGAGACCGGATTTCACCACATTGGCCAGGTTGGTCTGGAACACTTGATGTCAAGTGATCTGCCCGCCTCAGCCTCCCAAAGTGCTGGGATTACAGGCGTGAGCCACCATGCCTGGCTTAAGTTTTTTAAAATAAGAATTTTGCACTGCCTACTTTCAAAACTATTTTCTAGACTAGGTTGAATGTTGTTTTTCAATCAGGGGCATTAATGACAATTAGCTCATCCTCCAACCCCTGCCTTAGTTGACTACCTGCTGATATTTAGAAATGGAGACAAATAGGTAGAGAGACAATATTATCTTCCCCATGATGATGTTTCTCTTGAGTTATTTTCTTGTATGTTACCCAAAAATAAAATTAACTGATCCTCACTAGAACTATTCATTCACAGTTTCATTACTTCGGTGATTCCTTTTTTTAAATTATTTTCTTAGTAGACAAACATTTACCTGAAATGTTTCGTTACCTTGGAATCAATTTTTATTTCACCGATATCATTTCATTTCCTCTTGATTTACATGGGAAACATCGACTGGGCGCGGTGGCTCATGCCCGTAATCCCAACACTTTGGGAGGTCTAGGTGGGTGGAGCACTTCACGTCAAGAGTTCAAGAACAACCTGGTCAACATGATGAAACCCTGTCTCTACGAAAAATACAAAAGTTAGCCGGGCATTGTGGCAGGTGCCTGTAATCCCAGCTACATGGGAGGCTGAGGCATGAGAATCACTTGAACCCAGGAGATTGAGGTTGCAGTGAGCTGAGGTAATGCCACTGCACTCCAGCCTAGGTGACAAAGTGAGACTCTGTCTCAAAAACAAATAGGAAACATAATCTCTTTATTTAAACCACAAATGCCACTATTTTCAGGCAGGTTATGCCAAGTAATTGTGATTACCTTTGGCAGAAGAACCTTGCTTTTTTTTTTTTTTTTTTTTTTTTTTTTTAGTATTTCTAGAACCTGGTTGTAGGTATTGGTCTACAGGACCATAGGTATTGCTTAGTAAAGCGTAATCAGTGCAGGAGCAAATGAACCCTTGACTATCCATATTAGATATGGTGTTACTATATTAACAAATAAACGGTAATGATACTTCCTGGCCTGGATGGTGGTTAAGAAGTATTTCTCACACTTTCTCATGAAATATAAATTTGATTATGATATAAGGTTAAGTATATAAAAAGCAACATATAAAATTGTATGCTAAAATAGGGACTGGACCTATGAAATGATAAGATTTTGTGTTTGAGGCCGGACATGATGGCTCATGCATGTAATCCCAGTACTTTTGGAAGCTGAAGTGGAAGGATCACTTGAAGCCAGGAGTTCAAGTCCAGTCTTGGCAACATGGCAAAACTTTGTCTTCACAAAGAATACAAAAGTTAGCCGAGTGTGGTGGCACACACCAATGGTCTCAGCAATTGAGAGGCTTAGGTGTAGGTGGGAGAGTCACTTGAATCTGGGAGTTTGAGGCTGCAGTGAGCCGTGATCATGCCTCTGTACTCCATATTGCATGGCAAAGTGAGAGCCTGTCTTAAACAAACAAAAATAAAATAAGGTCGGGCATGATGGCTTATGCCTGGAATCCCAGACCTTTGGGAGGCCAAGGTGGGCAGATCACTTGAGGTCAGGATTGCAAGACCAGCCGGCCAACGTGGTAAAACCACCCTATGTATACTAAAAATACAAACACTAGCCAGATGTGGTGATGGGTGCCTGTAGTCCCACCTACTCTAGAGGCTGAGGGATGGGCCAGGTGTGGTGGTTCACAACTGTAATCCCAGCAATTTGGGAGGCTGAGGTGGGTGGATCATGAAGTCAAGCG